GAAAGAGTGAGAAGGTGCATGCATCCAGCATGAGCATGAAAGAAATACCTGCACTGGGTTTCTTGCCAGGCTTTCCCAGTCCCTGTCTCATCTAGGAACAATCAGACCCCTCAGAGCTACAGGGGAGATTGCCCAGGAGTAAGCGCAGGTCACTGGCTGTGCCAAACCTCCCCTTGGACCCTTCTAGCCTTCGGACCCAACCCTGCAAAGTGATAATGTCTTTCAGCATTTCTTAAGGCCAGTGTGAGCCCAGAATAGTCAGCCCTTGGCTAGGGGTGTTCAGCAGCTGGCAGGGGGTCCCATGCAAGGTTTCTCTGGGATAGGAGTGTGACATTTCCCTGCAGCAGATACCTGGGGTGGCAGGATGAAGGCTGTTCTCTAAGGCATTTGCAGCTGTGTCATGTAACTGCCACCTAAAACTCTGAGAGCTAAAGACATGCGATGTCTCCAGGATTGTCTGGTACCTTTTTGATTCCTAGTGGGATATGTGGGCTCTTGGTGAACAGCAGGGAGTTGCAGTGTTGCTTGCCCTTCATAAATCAAATCTGGGATGAATTAAGGACAAACACAGAGAGTTGTTCTTATCGCTGAAAAGTGTCACAGTCTTAGATGGCTGCTTGGTTGTTTCTGTGTTTAATTGTACTGCTCAAACAAAGCTCAGGTTCTGAGGCTGGAAGTGACTGTGTGGCTGCATCTAAAGTGGGGTGATCTTTCCAGGTATTCGGAAAGAATAGTGGCTGAAGCCAGATCGAACTGCTTCATTTCAAAATGAGCTATGGAGGCACCATGTTGAGAGCTGGTGATCACCGCGCTGGTCCATATGAGAACAGGGGTTCACAAAAAACCCCAAATAACTGCCAAGAGATTTGCACAACCATTAGAGAAACTTGTCACTCAGTTTGAAATGTCACTATTTCCTGTACATGTAATGAGGGGAAATGCTGGAGGGGTTTGCAATGTTTGCAGTCTCTTATTCCTGGCATTTTTTGACTTTGAGGCATTGACTCAGCCCTTCCATTGCCACACTTTTCTCTTAGCTGGGCCCTACTGCCATCTAGCTGGGAAATGGATCTTCCTCTGGGGCCTGATCCAATTTCCAATGACATCAGCAAAAATCTTCCCATTTGCTTTAACAGGAGCTGGGCTGGGTCCTTGCCTCTGGTTTTACTTTGTATTAGAGAGAAAGGGTCACGATGACTGCCTTTTTTTCTGGGGGTTATTGTGTTTAGTTGGGTCAAAAACTTACAGATGTGAACCTCACCAGAACCAATACTGAGAAAACCACTAGCAAAACCCCAAAACGCGGCCTGTCTCTTGGGAGAGCTTTCTCTTCTCACCACGTATCACAGAGAACCCTCACGTTCTCTTGCACCACACAGCCTTGGGGTTACAGCACATGCAGCATGCTGAGCGACCTGTACTGCAAAGATGTTCCCCCACGCAACAGGCAACAGTGGAAAACAACAAACTGAAGGCAGGGCTGAACCAAACAAACTGGTCACACACTAATCTTAGAAAAATTCACCTTCTGTCCCTCCATTTTTGAATGCATCAAATTAAAAGAGCAAGATTTAAGAAAAAAAGTTTACAAAGCCACCATAAGAGCGCCAAGACCTTACCCACCCCTCCTGACTCAGTCTATCTAGACCTGAGGCTCCAGCTTTTGGCTCATTTCAGGATTCAATTTTCCCTGAGTTCTTCCCAGCAGGTAGGGAGGAAAAGGAGATAGCTTAATCCTACTTCCTTAGAGCCCTAGCGAAAGCCTTAGATAACAGCCTCAGGGCCACAGTACTCAGAAGACCTCCTGTTCTGCTTTCAGACTGTTGCGAGCACGGCAGTTCTGCTGTGGTAGATGCTACCCATTGAAAACCGGGCCCTTATGATCACCAGCTAAGGTAGCTCATGGCACGTCACGGGGAACTTGTTTGCAAGGGGAATAAAAGATAACTCCCACATTGCTGGTGCTTCTCCGAGATGGCATTTCGTTTGAAAACGAGTGAGTTGGGGAAACCATGTTTACCCGCAGTTCAAAGTCCGGGCACCTGCTGGCACCTGGGGAGTTCAGTTCCAGCCGTTTCCAGCAGTGAATGAACTTGGGATCAGCTCCAGCAAAAGAGACAGCTCTCTGCCTGCCGAGCAGATGTCTGGAGACGCAGCCTGTCATGAAAGGGCCTCGGAAGAAGAGCATTCCAAGCCAGCAGGGCAGTGGCGGGGAACTGGTCTCTGTTGCTAAAACTGATCTAGGCCCTGGAGCAGCTGCAAACCTTGGCCTGAAATTGGAGCCTGTACATGGGGACAAAGAATATAAAAGGGAGGATGAGCTTCTCCCCTCCCCCTACCTTCATCACGTTTCCTCTTCTCGCCATTCGACCGAGGAATCCCCAGGATCCCGTTAATGGAGTAAGAGCCCACTGGATCATTGGAGGCACTGGAGACGGGAGGGGATGCTGTGCTGGGCACTGCACAAAAGGAAAAGGGAAAAAGGGCCATGAGGAGAGCAGCACAGCACTCAGGGATCCCCCAGCTGAAAGCTACGCATGCCACCAGTCTCATAGGAAAGCCTGGGCACTAAGCGGACTCCCAGTCCCTCACACTGAAGGACTCATACTGGCTCTGCTGCCAGTGTTGCAGCATCCCAGCTTTGCCCGTCCGTTCCTATACCGTAGCTCCACAGCCTTCCAGTACTGGGCCATTAATAACAAGCAAGTGTATTCCATCAAGAAGCCAAACCTTGTTTTTACATCCCAGTTCAGAGCAGGCTTCCCAGTGCATGGCAGGGTAACTGAGTGCAATGCTGCATAGGCCACGTTCTCTAGTGACTCCCTGGTCTACGCGTATTTTGCAGATCATTTCCTCTCAGCATTTTTCCACCAGGAGTGCACATGTTCTGCCTTAGCCAGACCAGCCTCTTACGTGTCCCCCCAAAACACTCATTGAAAAATTACCTTCTTAGCATAGGTTAGAAGCACTTCATCGTTGGGCCAATAAATTCAGTTCCCTACTAGAACAAATGGTGGGTCGGTGATACATACTCCAACCCAGACTAACAAAAATCTAGTGTCTTCCTTTTGCACTGACTAATGTCAGCTGGCAGACTCCTGCCACTCAGGGCTGTCCAAGGTTGCTCATGAGTTTCCAATATATCAGAAATGACAAGTCATCCAGATTAGAAATGATCACTTTGTGATAAGCAGGGCTTTAGAGTACAGAAGAAGTAGAGCTATGCATCCAGTAGGCATGCCCATTATGTCCCAGCATGTCCCAGTAATGGGGAGAATATCCCAGTTCTCTTACGGCCACTACCCATCATTCAGCTCATAAAGCACTGACCTGAAGCAATCAATACCTCCAATACAAGCCTTCCAGGATGGAGCAGAACCTGTCAGCACTATCCGATGTAGACCCACACTTCCCACTACATCCCAGAGCAATGAGAGACTCCAGTAGCAGCACTCACAATCACTATCCCAGCTCAGCCAATGCATTCCCTAGACATTGCACTCCTTTTCCAAGGAATAATATCTGCCAACTCCATCTGTTGTGGTCAGTGATTCCCAGTACAGTGAGCAAGTCCAGATTAAAAGGGCATCCAGAAATGCTCTTCCATACTGGCCCATTAATTTCATTGTGCTCTTGAACACAGTTTGTGTACAGGATTGTCTCTGCCAGCTCTGTCCCATGTAGACCAGCACCTTCTGATAAATCCTTGCACAGCAGCTGATTCTCAATAACAACAGTATCTAAGACAGTGTCTTAAGCCAAGAATAAGCCACTGTATTACACAGTATCCCAGAATGTTTTTTCCTGCTCTGAATTGTTACTGAATAAAGCTATGCGAGCAAGAGCAGACACATGCACCATACAGCCCACAGAGTGAAAAGTACCTCATCACACACCTACCACAGTACCTTTAAACACAACAGACTAGGAGACATTTGGTCACTTTATTATAGCCTCCATCTTCTGCTCACCTCGATAAACCCATCTCCCCCAGCAGAAAATGCATTTTCTCAGTGAAATACACCCATGGGATACCTGACTGCAGAGCCAGAACAATGAGGAACTCAGTTGTGAGGCATCAGGAATATCTTACCCGTGTCTGTGTATTACTAGCTCTAAGAAATGGACCAGTTCCAGCAAAAGGAGAGAAGAGAAATTGGGAGAGAGGAGGGGGAAGAGAGTCAGAGCAAGGAGACAAAAGGTGAAGACTGGTGCTTAGACAGGATAGCAGTAAATACTTCTCTCTAGGGAGGCGAAAGAGAGAGCGTGAACGTGAAATGGATGTTAAGGCAGAATCACTTTGGGCAAACCCCTACCTTGGGCTGGTTTCTCTGCCACCATTCCCTTCTCTGCGATGCAACGCGGGAAACAAAGAACAGGAACCTCTGATTTCCATTGAGGTTTCTTTCCCCCCGCCCCCTCCTCCCTTTTGCTCTGCTCAGCATCTGCTTGTCAGACTTTGTTCCCTCAACTAAAGCTTCATCCGCATTTCCACTTGTCACCACCCCTCATGCCAGTCTTCTTACCGATAGTATGTCCTGGTGCAGTCACACCTGTCCCGCTCCCGTCTGGGGTAGGGTGAAAAGGTTGCTGAACTTTGGTTCTGATGATCCTGGAAAAGAGCAAAACATGTTCAGAACTCAACTGCAACTTCTCTGTGCCTTTGCATACCCGCGATCCTGGCTGTCAGAACCCAAAGGCCTGGTCTGAGCTCTGTGTACAGCAGGCTGGCTTCATTTGCCTTCTTGTCATCGTGATTCTACTGCTTTAATGGTCTAGTTCGCAAAGAATTGTCCTTGCTCTGCTCTGTCACCTTCTCCCCAAACCTGGGTATTCACTGGGTAACTATGGTGCTCAGGGAGGGAGCTAGGATCTCCTGTGTGTTAGCAGCTACATTCTCATTTATGGTCTGAGCTGCCAGCATGATCACAAGGCAGTCTTTGCAGCTAACAGAGCCACTGCTCAGTTTACAAAAGGTGTAGATTTAATTTTGTTGTGTACCTGAAAAATACCTTCCTGGTATAGAACTGAATGCTTTGAACTGGTGGAAGGCTTGCCCAAAGCCCTTGCCCTTCATAAATGAGAAGGTGGGAGCAGAAGGCATCTGAAGGCAGTGGTGATGGGATATAGATCGCCAGGAAAAAGAAGCTCCAACAAAGAAGGCAAAAACTGGTGTTTATCAGGTGGTGAAAGAACACAGCGTGGGAATGCAAAAAGATGTCTCAGTGAATGCTGCAAAGCTCATAATGCAGCTCAGGATGAAAATAAACTGAACTGTAATTGTCAGTGCTCCGTTTCTTGTTACATGAAATCTTTCACCTCTAGGTCACTGGTTTAAATCCAGCTGAGGTCAGTGGTGAAAGAAAATCACTAGCACCTAGTACTTGACTGGCAGGGTCCCCGCCAACTGGCAGATGCTGGGTATCTGCGACTCAGGAACAACTGCCTCACCAGGGAACTCTGCAAACAAGCCATGACCTGTGGAGGCCACAGAGACCAAATTCCTTTCTGCGATTAAACTGAGCCTCTCCAATTAGGGTGAGGGCTGCAGATGCTCTTCAGCCTGAGTTTCTGGAACTCTCAGCCCCACATTATATTAGCTTTAACTCCTCCCCAAAAATCTCTTCAGAAAGTGAAGGCAAATAACACATTCTCCTCGCCCACCCGAGAGCTTCCCTTAAAGATTCGTTCTAAAGAGTAAGTTGGCAAAACTTCAAAGAGCAAATGTGTGTCTAGTGGGCAGTGTGGCATGGATAGAGACAGGGAGAGGCACTGAGAGGGCATTTGTGAAAAAGCACAACTGAGAGTTGAAACCTTCTTAGGAAAAGAAAGGTGTTTCAGAACTTATCAACTCAGCATGTTAGGAAACTCCAATACAGACATGATGAAACCTAGGCAGTAGCTGGAGAGGCAGAGAGGCTGCCTGGGACAGGGAATGTCAAGGTTCTAGATGGGGACAGAGATCCAGATCCTCACCCCATACAGGTCAGTGGTACCAGAGACCCTAATCTATAGCTGCTGAGGACCTATACAGAAGGTGTCTGAGGGCCTCAGGGCCAGATTCGGAGGTCATGCTGATTTGCAGTAGCTGAGGAACTGGTCTGAGAAGTCTGTGCTAGGGCAAATAATACAACTTTTTCTTCTTTTCTGCTTTTTTCCTTTCTTTTCCCTTCTCTCACATTCCCCCTAAAACCCCCTGAAGTGCCACTCTGGTTGTGTGAGTTTATTGATTTCCCCCAGCCCAGAGAAACAGAAAGAGGGGATGGGGTGCAGGCAAAGGGATGGAAATAGAAAGCTATAAATTATTTGTGACAGGAAAGCAATAGTGCCAGAGTGCTGAGCACAAGTCCCGTGTCACTATTAGATTCCTTTTAGCCTGATGACACTGTAAAAGAGGTTAAGTGTCTGATGGAATCGTACACCTTGGGGGCAGGGGCAGTCCAGGAGCAGAACAAGCCACAGAGAACGGGTATATCAATTCTCCAGGCCAATAATATTCCCCTCATTGATCGCAACACAAAGTTCAAAAATCTCATTATAGCCAGGCAGACCTGGAACTTTTTAAAAATCAATAGAGTGATATAATGTATGTATACTTTGTATAAATGTATCTATCCATCCATCCATCCATCCGTCTACCCAAAATCTGCCTGAGGGTGTCTAAGCTAACCTACACATTATACTGTGTTATGTTCTATTGTAGTGTAGCATAGTGAATGGATTAGAAGATTTCCCCTGCAGCCTTAGATGACATATTACAAAACGTCCTGTTAGCACTGAAGTGACATCAGACGGTTCCATTCATACCGAGATATGACATCAGATTCACCATTCGTACTGGGAGGTGGCATCAGACAGCTCAGCTTCTATTGAGAGGAACCATAAGATGAGCCTAATTATACTGAGATGGCCGATCAGGCTGTGCTGAATCATGCTGCATGAAAATTGCAAAGTTTCGAAGAGCTATTTAGAGTAAAAACAGCCTGTGACACAATGGTGCTATAAAATGCCTGTCCATAATGCTTCAAAAACCCAGGCAGGGGACCACGAGGAAGGTTCAATTTCCTTCCCCGTTCAGTTCCTGGTCTCTCGGAGAATGCCAGTTAGTGCCAGCTGTGACTGTGTTTACCGAGATGTATCCATTAGGAGCTGGAATGAGACTCACCAGCTCATTTCACCAAGTAGCCGTCAGCTGGTAATGATTTTCGGTCACTACCAACCAGGGCCAGATTTCAGCTAGTGACCCAGAGGTGAAAGGCTCTCTTCACAAACGTTCCCCTCCTAAGAATGAAACTGGTTTTATGTCAAGAGAAAATGTCTGGGAACAGTGAGCAAAGGGGAGCCATTCTGGTTGTGCAGCCACCAGTGGCTTGGGTCAAATGCACAGCAAACCTAATGAGGTTTCAGGTAGAAGGTATTTCCTTTGGCTAAAATAAGAGGCAAGCCATGAAGAGGTTCCCCCCAGCAGTTGCTCCTGTGCCCTACAGTCATGACTGAACTCTAGCGTTGCAAGGAAAAAGGAGAAATTTCAGGACCCGCACGCTCAGTACAAATAGCATCAGTGCATCCCCCTGCGTCGATTCATTTAGGGACAGTGATATACAGCAGGATAGCTAGGCATCACTGCTGCTGCTTTAAGAGGCTTCAAGTGAGTCTGTCCTACATGAGACCACCTAATGAAAGAGCAGATGAAAGATGAACAGAGCTGATCTGGTCCTGTAGCAACAGATGCAGCATAATAATGCTGTCTTTAAACTCAGGGATTTCTGAAAGCTTCTCACCCTTACCAGAGACTGAAATATGGACTAAGCCAGTTCCACTGCCTCAAACCTAGGATTTCTGGATTACTGCTGCATAAGAGGGAGCAAAACCTTGATCACCTCTTGCTGCCTTTGATGGCTTGTTCTTGCCTCTAGACACTGGAGAAAGACAAGCCTTTTTGCAGAACACTTCCTCAGCCCTTCCCAAAAGCAGAAGGGACACAAATCCTGGCACACCAGTCAGCAGTGCTGATTTTTTGAAGTAAATGCCAATATTTTCAAACATCTTTCTTTTCTCCAAAAGAAATTGTCACTTTGGACTAAATTCATCCCTGCTCTAATTCCATCACAGTCAGTGACTCCAATAACAGCATTTGTGTTTAATTAGGGACATAAACTAGTACTTACTGTAAATTCCCATTTTTCATTTTCCAGTGGGAGGTTTTTGCACAAGTTGTCGACTTTGAGTTTCGGAAAATATACACAGATTTAATACATAACATTCTGAAGCTTCAGCAACGGGACATTTATAGATCTTTGATTGCAGTAAAGCAACTGAACTTCATTTCACTATCTGAATTTAATATGCGATATTATCTTAAGTAATGGCATATAATGTCATTACAGTACATAGTATCATACTGTGAATTATACATCCATTCCTGGAATTCATGAGTTACCATAGCTGGCTTGTAGTAACCCTTTCTAGAGTAAATACTGCATACAGCTCCAGCTTAAACCAACTGCCTGTTTCCAAATGTCTTTGACTTTCTTAAACGTTCAGCATTAGACCATGAATGCCCAATGTTGATTTCTATGTCATTATTTTCAGCAGTTTAAATGCAATTCCTTTTGCTGATTCTGAATACGGATGGGCAGACAAAAATAATCTCTCCTGGTATGACAACTGTAACAAGCTCTACTCAAATTTGGTCAAGAATGTAGAAAGAAATACTAGAAGTTAAAAGTAGCTGAGCCGTAGTCCTTTCTGAGAAGCAGAACCTTCCTTCACTCCTTGTAAATAAGCAAGTAAAAAATCACTTCTAAACCTGTCCAGAAATTATTTGCTAAAAGAATGACAGATCATAGGAAGCATTCCTCTCTTCTCTGACATTTCTATCCAAACGCTCTTATAGCCTGACATACTCTGTGGTTTCTCCTTTCTTACTACTGCTGGCAGAGTCTTTAGACAGTATCTCAAATAAAAAGTCGTACTAGGGCTGATCAGAGGGAGATGAGGTAGGTCTGAATCATCTGGAATCCCAATCTAGCAATTCTTTTAAGCCTGGAAGAACAGAGTGAAGTTGCACTAAAGCACTGGTATCCTCACTTTGATCATATCCTTTTGTCATGGATTATTTTTCAGAGTGGAAGGATACACTCAGCAGCGCACCAAACTCCTTGTAATTGTTTTGGAGTATTCATATTTTGAATGCTCCATATTAGAAGCACATTACAAGACCCCAGGGTGTGCATTACTGGGCAATTAAAGCGGTTCTTGGAAGGCTAACATTGCGAAGCTTCAGCCTTTTCTCTGCAGTGTGTCCAAGGGAGGCTGTGATGGCCAAGGAACACACACCCTGCTGTGCCGCGCTGCTTAATTAGCGCCGGGCCGTAGTGCTGAGCCGCGGGCTGTGCCGGCGGGAGAGACAAGGCAGCCTGTGGGGGACTTGGTGCAGGGCTAAGTGAGACAGCAAGGCCTTCTCTGCATCCAATTGCTTCCTACAAAAGGGCTCGTGACCATCCCAGCGATGCCTGAAGGAGAGGGAGAACCTGGGATGGGAAGAGGCAGCTCTGGGCTCCTTGGCGACAGCCCCTATGGAGCCAACGATATCCCACCTGCAGACTGGTG